ATTTAATCATCCATAACGTTATGGAACACATTAATTAACTGAAAAATGTTGCATAGTGTGCCTTTAAGAAAAACATAGGCATAAAAAAAGCATTGCATAGTGGTAAGCATAATACTAGGGCAGATGGTGGGTGTTAATACGGTAGTATGAAATTGTTGCTTTGTGAGAATAGTCTAAAAATTGAGTATTTGTTAAAGCTTCTTTTAATTGGGCTTTTACTTATACTAAAGTTACTGACTGTTTTTTTTCTCCATCCAGATGTAAATGTATATTCATTAAATCTATTTATCTTTGTTTTTATTTAAGGAGAGCAGCAGTTCTGTTGCGGTTACCGGAGTCTGTTTCAAGTCAGGGCCTCTTGGGCCCAGGGAGCTTTGCTTCAGCTACAACAACTACACAGAATGCGTCATCATAAAAGTGGCAGCAGGAATCCCCGCCAAGCTTAAGCTCCTTAGTGGGCCTGAGCTGGTAAAGAGAACTTTTTTCCCATCTTTTTCATTTTTCAGCTAGTGAAAGGCTCATATCTTTTATTTTTTTATTTTGAATAAACCTCATGTGGTACCAGTGCAATGCTGGTTTTGTCTTTAGTGTATTAACCAAAGAAGGTTTCAGGTTCGATTCCTGGCCCAGTCTTTCCGCATGGAGTTTGAACGTTCTCCCTGAAAATGCTTTGGTTCTCTCCTGATACTCCAGCTTCCTCTCACAGTCCAATACCATAACTGTTAGGTTAATTGGCTTCTCTAAATTTTCCTTAGGTGTGAGTATGTTCGTCAATGGTTGTTTGTGTATGTGCATATATATATAGATATATATATGCCCTGCGATGGACTGGCGACCTGTCCAGGGTGTACCCCGCCTCTCGCCCGTTGAGTGCTGGAGATGGGCACCAGCACCCCTTGTGACCCCTCTCGGGATAAGCGTGCTAGAAAATGGATGGATCGATATATGTCTACCATATAATTAATTATTACTACTGTTACTGTTAATTACATCATTCATACCTTTAACTACTTTGTTAGGAACTTAATAGTTATTTTACTGCTACTCTCAACCATAAGTAGCATAGGCAGTTTACTCATTAGAGTAGAACAGACAGATTCTGTTTGCATGTCTTATTCATTGCTTGTGCAGTCTTTGTAGATCCCTTTTATCAACCCGTCATTGTAGATAGACGTAAATAGGTGTTCCCTATATGTTATGTTATAAAAATATATTAAAGGACCTCCTTCCTTAAAAAGAAAATTGAGGTAATGGTATCGATAATTTAAAAGAATCATTAAATCTCTTTGTGTTAAATCTCCAAGAAGCTGGTGTCTTTCTAGGATATACTGAGATCTTCACTGAATTTCTCTGTAAACTCCTGATTTTAGATGAAACATTAACAAAGAGAACAAATGTGTTTAGTGTTTTTTTTGTCTTATTTAGCCATTGCAGGTATTGAATTGTCAAGGTATTCCAACACCATTTACTGTCCAGCTCTGTGATAAGTGGGAAAATCCTTCTCAGGACAAAAACTTAACTATTGAGATAACAACAACATCCGAGACACTGAAGGTTGGTTTTAGAAAAGTAAACATGCCTAGCTGTCTGCAATTTTAGAATTTAGAAAAAGAGAATAATTCTGTTTTAACAATATAATTGAATATTGTTATTGTTTCAGCTGACACATGAGTCACAACCCATGGACTCAGAAGGAAAAGTCTGCTTCACCATTAATAATCTTAAAGGTTCAAAGTAAGTCTCAAAAACGCACCATGTCCCAAGTTTGGTGCAGTTTTACAGAAACTGGGCATCCTATTTGAATGCTTTACTACTACATGCCATGGTTATGTTTTTTATATTTACTTTTATTGTCATTTTGCAATTCATTTTTTTCTCCATCAAGGGGTTGAGTTCTATCTATCAAAATCTTTGGATTTTTAAGATTAATGGCTCTCTAAATTATTGCAGTATTAGGACCTTAGAAAGTCGAGAAGACAAAAGATGAGAAGTCATAAGTTCTTTTTTTTATTGTAACATATGTAATGATAAACTCATACAATAAGCTTCATATCACTCATTAGATGTCCTATCACTTTGTTATGTGTGAAGGAAAAGTAACGCTGCCTATGATACCAAACACAAACACTATTAACCGTGTTGGCAGCCTGATGCTGTAGGGATTTCTTTAACAGGGACAGGGAAGTTGTTAAAGGCACCAAATTTATATAACTTTTTATTAGTCACACTGACCATTCCAAGGACTTCACACTATTAACACATTCATCCAACATCACTCACTAATGGTCTCATTTTCAAACACTAATATGCAGATCAGAAAGCGAAAAGGCTGTCAATGGTAGGACCAGCATGCATCTGGGTCGGCATATGTTTTTTTACCAGCACAAGAGAAGCATGGAGGAAATGTTTCTCTTTTTCTGTTTGCTTGCCTGAGGAAGAAAAAAACCAGAAAACCTGGAAAATATTATCCTTTTGCTTGCATAAATTACTTGTCCATGGTGCATCTGAGGCCTTTGTGAATTTTTCATATCGTCAAAGCTGGGCCACAACAATATCTGTCTATAAATTCAGATGAAACTAACCCATTACATAGACTACAGATATGTCTTGAAACAGAAGTTATAGTCTTTGGACCAGAGTCCCAAAAAAAGAAGCTGATTAGTCAATCACTTCATTTGGATGGGATTGAATTGACCTGTTATTTAAATCCCATATCAAAGAGGTTTCTAGAATTTCCTTCTTTATTCTGCAGAATATTGCAATATATTAGAAATATCCTGTCCAGGGGTGATGCTGAAAAACTAGTCCATGCATTTGTTACTGTACAATTGTAGTTCTTTACTATCAGGAAGTCCACAAGCTGTAGTTAAAAGCCTTCAGCTGATCCAAAATGCTGCAGCCACAGTTCTGATGAAAATTAAAAATAGAGATCATATCTCTCCTATCCTAGCTTCTCTTCATTGGATTCCTGTTAAATCCAAAATTGATTTTAAAATCCTCCTTCTCACATATAAAGCCTTAAAAGGCCAAGCTCCATCTTATATCAGAGATATGATAGTTCCTTATGTTCCTTAAAGGGCACTTAGCTCACAATCTGCAGGTTTACTAGTTCCTAGAATTTCTATAAGTAGAACGGGACACAGATCTTTTAGTTATCAGGCTCCTCTCCTGTGGAATCAACTACAAGTTTTAGTCTGGGAGGCAAACACCCTGTCTACTTTTAAGGGTAGGCTTAAAGCCAAGAGCCCAGAAAACCTTCTAAAAAGGTTAAAGGTAAACTTGAAGCTTAAGGACCATCAGTTTCAGATTGCGCCATTCATTGTTGTTTAGGCCAAAGTGGCTTAATAAAAGATGATCAAGGAGGAAACTCTTGTTGAATCTAGATTAGATTAGATTAGATTCAACTTTATTGTCATTACACAGGTACAGGTACAAGGCAACGAAATTCAGTTTAGGTCTAACTAGAAGTGCAATAGCATAAAGTGCAGGACAAATAATGGTTCCATAAATATAGGACATGGGTTTCTACTGAATGAGTATAGAGATGAATACCATTATAAATAATGAATATAATATATAGATCACTAGTGTTATGAACTAAGTTTACAGCTTGATATGTACCGAATATAATATACAGGTGGATATACAGTTATGTACAATAGCACATATACAGATGGGTTTTACTAGAAAATGAATAAATAAAGTTTGGACAGAGGCTATCTAAATTAAAGTGCAATGGAAGGTAATTGCATATTACAGTTAAAGTATGTTATTGCAAATGTATATGTAAACAATTGGTACTGTGAATAAACAGTCAGCAGTGCAAATCGACTCAAAGTGAGTAGTGCAAGATGCATATGAAGAGTTGTTACAATAGTAACAGTCAGGAGTGCAGGTGAACATTACAGTCTTGTAAAAAAAAAAAAGAATAGCAAAATGGTAGTAGGTGTGAGGAAGGAGAGGAGAGTATATCCGTGAGGGTTAGAGTTCAGTAAAGAGACAGCTCTGGGGGAAAAGCTGTTCTTTATTCTGCTGGTTCTGGTCCAGAAGCCTCTGAAACGCCGGAGGGTAGGAGAGAAAACAGTCTGTGGGCTGGGTGGGATGAGTCCTTAAGAATGCTGCGGGCTCGATGTAGGCAGCATTTCTTCTGGATGTGCTCAATGGTGGGTAGTGAAGTTCCAGTGATTTGCTGGGCACTCTACAACAGAACAGCTTCAGTACCACACTGTTTCACAGTTGGTCAGGATGCTTTCTATTGCACAGCGATAGAAGTTCACCAGGATAGTTGAGGGTAGCTGATTCTTCCTTAGTGTTCTTAGGAAGAAGAGGTGCTGGTGAGCCTTCTTGACCAGGCCGGAGGGGTTGGTTGACCAGGCCATGTCCGCTGAGATGTGGGTCCCCAGAAACTTGAAACTGGAGACACGTTCAACAGCTATTCCATTGATGTGGATGGTGTTGTGGGTGCCTATTGAATCTTTCCTGAAGTCTATGATGACCTCCTTCGTTTTGGTGGTGTTGAGGAGCTGGTTATTTTCAGTGCACCATGTGGCCAAGTGCTCAATATCCTCCCTAAAAGCAGTCTCATCGTTGTTGCTCATGAGACCAATCCCTGTGGTGAGGTCCGCACACATGATGATGGAATTAGACACGTACACAGGCTTGCAGTTGTGGGTGAAGAGGGAGTAGAGAAACAGGCTTAGCACACAGCCCTGTGGTACACCAGTGTTGAGTGTGATGGACTTGGAGCAGTTGGAGCCTGATCGGACATTCTGTGGTCTGTTGGTCACAAAGTTCAGAATCCAGTTGCACGTGGAGGTGTTGATGCCCAGGTCTTGAAGTTTGGCTAATAACTTAGATGGAATGACATTGTTGAATGCTGAGCTAAAGTCAACAAACAGCATGCGACCATGTTTACACAAACGTGGCTCTAGCCACGTTTGTGTAAACATGGTCTAAAGTTTTGTTTCCTCTGGTGTGGCAGAGAACATGCCGGTGAAATGTTGGTAGCACTGACTTTAAATTTGAATGATTAAGGTCACCTGCGACAATATGCACAGCTTCTGGGTGAATGGTCTGTTGTTTACTGATTGCTGCGTGGAGTTCTTTCATAGCAGACTTAGCATCAGCGTCCGGGGGTATGTAGTCTGCAGTGATAATGGTGGAAGTGAACTCCCGTGGCAGATAGAATGGTCTGCATTTAACTATCAGAAACTCCAGGTTAGCTGAGCAATGTCTCTCAACAATAACAGAGTTTGTGCACCAAGCTTTGTTAATGTAAATGCACAGTCGTCAACCTCTGGTCTTACCGAAACCATCTGATGTTCTATCCGCCCGGAATGTATGGGGTCCCGCTAGCTCAATAGCGTGGTTTGGTATTCCACTGTTGTCTGGTATTCCACTGTTAATTATAATAAGACAGACTGGAATTTGGGGACAATCCACAAAGCATCTTAGAGAATGTCCTATAGAGAGATGAGACAAAAAATTTTACTTTTTGCTAAGACTAATCAGCTTATTTCGCACAGGCTAAAAAAATAACCTATCAATAAAAGAACACTGTCCCTTCTGTGAAACACGGAGGAGGCTCTGTTATGCTCTGGGGCTTAGGGCACAGGATGTCTTGAATTTCTGCAGGGTACAACGAGACTTCAAGACTATCAATGGGTTCTAGAGAGAAGTGTGCTGCCCAGTGTGGGACGGCTTGGTCTCAATCGCTGGTCATGCGTCTTAACACAAGGTGTCCCGGAGAATTCCAGTTTTCCTGCAAGCCCCCCTCCCCTCTTTAATTTGTGTATTCACTCTGCCTTGCTAAGTGTCCTTGTTGTAATGCAAATAACCTGTGATATGACCAGCCCTTTTACATGAGACTGGATAAGGCTGAAACAAACTGGCATCAGAACAAGAGCATGCTCCAAACAATTTTCATTACCTGCCCCTGCAACATCAGACCTTTTTGCAGGACTATCTTAATAAGTGATATCCAAATCTTTTATTTAGGCAGACCTGTTGAACAACCAGCTATCATACGGGTCCTAGTTCCTGAGCTGAGGACAGGTCATAACCATGCTTTTCCAACAAGGCAAGGCAGAGCCTATTTATATTGTCCATTCACCAACAGACTCATTGTCGAAAAGCTCACTATGTGAAAGAAAGAACAACTTAGAGAATAATTGTATTTTGTCTGTTTTCACCTTTTCATGTCATTCAACATTTCAGCTCAGAGAATGACAAACAGTATGATTTCAGTATAGTAGTAACATTAATTTCACCCAAGGATAAGCACTACATATGAAGCTACAATTGTCCCATTTAGCAGTTTTTAGAAACCCAAGGTGAGTCCTTCCTGCATTTGTGACAGGTATACTTAGTGCAGTGCACACAACGCTCAGTGCTGTGGTTCCTGTTGCAGAGATTGCACACCTGGCCTGCTTATGATAACAATGAAAATATCTAAAAAATAGAGTTTAGCACATATTCCGAAACTAAGAGTTGTAGTATGAACTAGATGAGGTTATCTATGTGTGCTACAAGTTTTATACTAATAATAGAATGGAGGTGCCATTTGTCATTTAGGCTTTTGGAAATTCCTCAGAAAAGTATTATTTTCGAATCCAATACATGTGATAATAATCCACCACTCCTTGGTAACGCTTTTGAATATTTCTCTCTGATTATTTTGCAACTTGCAGAGTTCACTCCTCCTGCACATTTTTGGAGCAGCGAGCTCTCCATAGGGTCCAATGTAATTTTCCCAGCACGATAGGAGACTCGTTGTGAGGAAACTACGGTTGTAGCTCACTGTCTGTCCTGCTATGGTTGCGAAGAGCTGTGTGGTTTGTAGAATAAATAATCAGCCAATGAGTTATTAATCCGGAAAAGTCGAATCTGTGAATATATTGCCAACTTGACTGCAGTCTCACGATGCTGTCTGCGTGTCTGCAGAGGAGGAGAGAAGAGAGAGAGAGGAGAGATCGCCTGAGTTATATTTCCCCCCAAATAAATAATGTTCATTATTGTATAAATGGTCATTATTGTATAAATATTGTTGCTTTCTACAGCGTTCCAGCTCATGCAGCAATTTTCATTGAACAGATCAGTTATCATCTGATCTCTGCGCTGGTGGCTGGGCTGAAATCATTGCGATGTTGGCGACACTGATGAGGTAGACCTTGTTATATTTAATTACAAATATGATTTTTTCCCCCCTGCTCTCGGGTAAAACAGTCTTAAAGAGAGAGACTTTAGCTAAAATTGAAACTGAAGGGGGTGGAATGGTTCTCCAGCCACAGCGCTAATGGTGCATTTCCCATCTGACAAGGGATTCATGAGTTGTGGAGTACTGTTGGGGGGACTGGGGGCTGAGGAAAATTCTCGTATCTATGGGATTTCTAGTGTTAAACATGATAATAACCCAAAACACAAAGATAACAACACCCTGGAGATGCACTTTATGAGCCATGACCTAAACAACAACCTAAATCTTATTGAGCATCTTTGGAAGGAGCTGAGATTGTGCAAAAGAAATAAAAAAAAATATATTAAAAAAATACAGTGAAGGGTACCATCACTTTTGTCCAGAGATTAAGAGGTTTGTTTTTTCTTTTTTGTATTAAGTTGAATCATAGTTGAAAAGCAATGTCTGACTTTTATTCATAATTTCTGTTACAAGAAAATCAAGAGTTACCAGCAATTTGTCCATGTACAATATGCTGTATTATTGTAGCATAGCCCCTCCTCCATACTGCATAACATCCTCTGTTCTTGATCCGTTTTATTGATATTTGGACTGACGGAACAACTAAGTTGTTCCATTTCAACATTTTCCAGAGACTACCGCAAATGTCAGCTTGCCCAGAGCTTTAAATTTAGACAGATTTGCTATTAATTACAGGTAAGACTTCTTTCTTTACTCCTTTCCTTCTCTAGAGGGTCCTACGTGCTGGAGCTTAAAGGATCCTTAAATGGCAAATCCATCCCTGGTCCATCAGTGAAACTCATTCTACTCGCTGATCCCAACAAACCTATGAACCTGTCAGTGAAATACGATACAAATGCCAGATTCCCTGCTGGAGGCACATTTCCAGGTTTTTATTTCTTGATAAAATCCTAGTATCCTTTTTTTTTTTGGTAAATTAATTTAAGCTGTATGTGATTTGCAGATTTTTCAGTGACTGTGCTTTCTGAAGAGGGGAGTCAGATACAAACTTTTAAACCTGCAGATCTATCTATGTCCCTGTGGGAGAAAGGGTCGGCAACACAACCTGAAACAGTAAGTGATCAAATATCATCATGAGTCTCTCCTCATTGTAAGTAAGATATGTTCAATAATACACTTAACGTTCATTTTTCAGGACATTATGCCAAAATGCGGAAAACCTATTAAAGATGAGGAGAATCACTGTTATCGATTTAGGTGATTTAATTTTAAATAATCTCTATTTTGCATTAAGTACAGTTCATTTAGAAATATTTTATTAATGTCATCATTATAAATATTGTACTTAAAGTTTTTATTAATCAACATTGGCTTTTTGCAGAATGTTTAGAGGAATAGAAAATTAGAATAGTTGAAATTTTAGGGCTTTCGTTCTTATCTGCTCGATTTAACAGCTGATGCTCCTATTTCTATACAGTACAGATAAAGCAAGGGAAGGGACTAAATAAAGGCACTTATTCATAATCAAGCAACCTAAATAGTGAGCTAAAGGAATGTTAACTTTTACTTAACTAAAAGAGACATCAAATGACTTTTCCTAGACAGTTTTTGGACATGTGTGAAACTTGTGTGTGCTTTACTGCAGAGGAAAAGCAATCCCAAAACATGCTGGGGAGTATACTGTAGAGTTTGCTCTACAAAGCAACAAAACAGAGGATCAGCTTAGGACTCAGGTAAGTTTGCACACATTAATAAAGTTCTGTGTTGAGTATGTATGCATTAAAAATGTGAAATAATAATACCCATAGCGGCAAGCAGCTCTTGTAGCTTAAGGTAATTGAATGTCTCTGCCTCCAGGCCTCAGGTTAGCCAGCAGCTTATATAATAAATTGACATACATCTGTCTGTTCTTCTGTCTGTCTACATATGTGTCAGTAATTTGGTGGAAAACTTTACACTTCACTTTTAACAATTATTCTTTATATGCAAGTTCTGAGTAGTCAGTTCAATGGTCAGAACAAGGTCCAGGTAATCAACAGCTATGCTTTGCCAGTAATGAGATACCCTTCTGGGATAAACAGATGGCCCAAGGAGAAGATTCAAGCCACTGATGTTAAAACACGGAATCTATTCTCCATGCATGGTGAATGCCACTCTAAATCCAGCACCCACATATTATAAACTAAGCACAAAGAAGGAGGTAGAGGCCTAGTGAGCATCAGGACGGCAATAAAGATGAAACATCCAAGCTCCAAGAATACATCAGGGATAATCCAACGGATGAGGCGATTAGTAAATGTCTCAGACAGTGGGAGCTGGAAATGAAGGAACTGTAAGAACTATCAAGGGAGGAAAAAAATCCCTACATGGGATGTACCAACTGACGGATGGCTGAAGTGGCAGATATGGCAAATCCTCCAATGGCTAGAGAGAGCAGGGCTAAAGCACAGCACTGAAGCACTGCTCATGGTGATATATTCATTACCCTCTGACAATGAGCTGATCAACCATGGTGCACTTAAATACTCCACAAGGTCTTAGTGGCTTAAATGGCTAAGTTCTCATGTATTGTTTCCAGTAAGATGTTTTAAAACTTTGTTTTAGGTATTGTGGAAATTTGGTTCAAAGCTTTTGCTGATCTTTTGATTTTTCTCCCTCTCATAGATCAATATAAAGGTGGTGGCTAATGAACCAATCAAACTGGAACCCGAATGCCAGCTAGAAACTCCAGCTGTTTTCAACTGTAGAGACATCAGCAATCGAATCTTGGTTGAAAATGTGACGCTAAAGATTATGGTGAGCTCCAGTCCTTTCAAGGCATCAGATTTACTCTTAACACATGTCAGCAAAAAAACTCTGAATATCCCACCCATTAGGAAACATCTGTTTTTGTTGTTGTAATTGACAGCTTTAGGTTTGTTGAATTCTTTGCAGGATCAGCATGGTAATCCAGCTGGGCAGGACTTGAACGGTAAGGTGTTCATCTCAATGAAGTGTCCTGACGGAGAAATACCCAGAAGTCTCCCCTTGTTTAAAGACAAAAACAGCCATGTCCAAATTAGCTTAAAAGAAGGAACTGCCAACATTGATGTGAGTAGCACTCTATCTGTAGCATAAACAACTTTTATGTTTGTCATCATAGAGAACTTCCTTTCACCTCACCTTTAGAGTTTAGCAATTTCAGAAAACAGTCCTGGTGAGAACGGAAGAAGATATATTCTCCTCTTCAGGCCTGAGGTGACGATGCCGCCCACATCTCTCAGTCCTTTTGAGCTGCCCTTCTATTTTTACAATGGTACACTTTACAAACTGCATTTAATAACAAGCACAAAGCTTCTTTACAGATGTAGAAATGTCTCCTAATATAGAGAGAAAATTGAAAGATAAAATTGTTATATCATGCAGTATTAGTTTGAGAATAACATAAATGGATCTAGTTATTTAAAAATCTGATATTGCTTTATGAACAAATATTATTTTAGACAAATAGAATCTAATTACTTGAGGTTTTTACTGTCAAAATATAACAGTTTAAAATGTAAATCTATAAGGGAATTTTAAAGATCCCTGGTTTAGAGTCATTATTGTACTGTAAATGAAAAGTCAAGTGTTCTGAATGCTATATATCAGATAAAAATAAAGTATAACCAGATACTGTAAATCCTCTAATATTGGCCTGTATTCAATTAGCAGCCGGGTCTCTAATAATGGCCGGTCTCACTGTCGGCGGAGGTAAATAGTGGCCAGACTCTTATACAGGCCTGGGCTATAATTAGAACCAACAATGTTCCTGGCCAGTCCTCAACAACGTGTGATAGTAACATACAAGTATCAGTTGGACCTGCTAGAAGAGCGAGGTGCGCAATAACGCTGGGACCCTTTTTCCACCTGGATCTTGTGTCCCTCCTTTGTCGGACTACTCGCCCCCACTTCCTCATCGCCTTATATCTAGACCCACCATGTATAGCACGGACCATGCTTCAATACTGAGCATAAATCAAAAATGTCTGCATCAAGCTCATTGCCACACACTGCTGCAGGAGTATAACCAGCCACACAATCATTCTCATCTGAAAGACACGTGATTACCGGTAGGTCTGGTTGTAACCAGGCAGCGTTAAAATGACAGAATTTCGTTGGCCTTTGTTGTTCTGAATTTCTCTTGAAATATATGATACTGGTAGCCTAATTCCACTTAGCCTGCCTAAAATGAAATTTCGTGCTGATGGCAGAACAGTTTCCATTAATTTTTTTTTTTTCGTTTTGCCGTTCAGAAAAATAGCAGCTGCTGAAAGACGTCCGAATAATGTTCTGTATACAGTTATGGCAACTGTACTTTTTCAATAAATGAACCTAGTATTTTATAGGTTCAAAGACACACAAAATCTTGTTTTTATTCATTCCACTGGTAGTCTGTTTTGATCAAATAGAAATAGAGGCCTGCCTCTAATTCTGGCCTCCTTCCAATAATGGCCTGGACCAAGATGTACCTGAGTGAAATAAAGGCACCGTCCTATATTAGAGGATTTACGGTACTTTGCATCTTATACAACAAAAGAATAAAATTGTAAAGCCTATTAGGAGCCTTATAATCATTTAATCATTATGTTTGGTACTAATCATGTAGTTGTGTTTAAAAAGGTAGTTACCAATAAATAATAAAAAAAAAAGTCATTATTTACGCAAATTACTTGTAGGAGAAGTTGTACTTTTTATGTTCACTCAAGTAATATTCTTGTTTAGTATTACTACTCTTACTTGGCTATACCTTTTGGTTAAGTGTAGAATGCTGCCACTTGAAGGCACATGCCCTTGGAGCTTATTCCAATTTCCTGTGCCCGAAAGGATGACTCTTTAAATATCACTTTAAATAACATTACTTCTTACAGCAAACAACTCTTATACAAGCCTAGCTATATCCCAGTTTTATCTAAGTTTAGCAGAGAAGTGTAGGCTGATATCAACTAAGACTCGTATATCAAAGCTGTCAGACTGAGATTTAAAACCTGACTGAAGCTCTTTAAAAGGACAATTATTATGTAAGGGCTCACAAACTTGTTAAATAGCTATTTTGTAAAGAATTTTAGATAGTAAAAGATGGTTTGATGTAGGTCTATAATTGAATAACTCGAGAGAACATTTCTTAAGTAAAAGTTTAATTAAAACTATTTTAAAAGCCTGAGGTACCTACTGTGTGCAAAAAGATATTCAACTATACAGTCATGTTAAATAAACGGAGATCGATGGATTTAACTCAGTCGGCACTTAATTTTCTTTGCGAAGAAAAAGAGAACATCATGGCATAATGTCCAGCCCTGCTCTGCTTAGACAAAGTTTGTCTCACTAATTTAGACGCTGCAGGAGGGCTGTGACAGTCTCTACATATCGTTACTGAAACAATTACTGACAGTTGGAAACAACATATGATATGAAATCCCTGAGAAAGAGTCAAGCTTGTTATGAGAACCGTTATATTTATCCCAAACTCTCCCTAATAGGATAGACGATCCCTGTCCCTTAGACATCTTGTAGCCTTGCAGCTCTGAGGCCTGATTGAATAAAACTCAGTACTCATAAATCAATATATGTAAAATGGAATTAATAGCAGGTTGAATTATTTTCCCATCACACTTTTAACAGGGATAGATTATTCATATCTAAAATGGAGGTGGAAATCAGAGGGAGTAATTTATTAAATAACTTGGTTGGACTTGAGTCTAACATGAAAACCCAAGATTTACTTAAAAATAATACTTTTGCTAACTCTGAAAGCTCAATTGGATCAAAATATACCAAACCCAGTTCAGGTTACCTCAGATGCTGCCTCACCTTCCAAAGATAAACCAATCATATTGGCACTTTAAAGCACAATATAAGTTTCCTTATACTATGCTTCAAAGTGCGCAGCTCTTATTATCAACGTTCTACTTTCTTATTGTTTGTAAAATGAGTACACAGGCAACTAGTAACTTCATAAATAAAATCCCTTTGTTAAGGGGAATAAATTAAATGGTTCCCTTTTACAGTATTATGCAGTGAAATGGAGGATATTAAAAGTTGAACAGATTATTTAAAATGTATAACTATATTGTCTGATAATGATCTGCTTAAGAGGAACCTTATTTTGGGGGGAGGAGAACTATGTTAAAGTAATTCTTAGGTTACTAAAAAGTAATCAGATAGGACAGGATGAAAAAATGCTATTTTTTCACAGTCAATGCCATAAAACAGCCCAAGGTCCAGAAGATGAGAATGCATGGGACTATGCACATTTTAAACAAATCCATTTGAGTCTAAAGTACCACTATAATGACCTTGTTAGTATTTAGCACTAAATTCGATAGGAACTTTGAAAACAGATCTAAAAATTCAGAGTAGCGACCTGGTGGACGATACAAAGTTATAAATAGAAGAGGTTTTGGTGATTTATAACTTGGATCAGGGAAACTAAGGATTACATGTTTAAAATAATTGATACCTGGCTTAGGACTAATCAAAAAGTCAGAATGAAAGATTTGTGCTATGTCTAACCCATCATTTCTTGGTATATGAAAATGTATATAGCTGAAGAGACTTGCGTCATTTCTGCTAACATAATCCTATTGCTGCAGCCAAGTTTCTGCAAGACGACATAAATTCATTTGACAATCACAAATCAAGTCACTAAAAGGCAATTTGAAGAAAGAGGTTGCATGTTAAATTAACCACATTCAATTGTTTTAACTTTTTAATCTTTTAGTATTTTTTTCTAATTTAAATCATTTTTGCCATTGGACATATTGGATTGGGTAATAGTTGGCAGAGATGGGGACTCGAGTTTGTGACTCGTACTCGAGTCGCACTTAAGTCGCATATTTAATGACTT